GACAGCTAGCTCAGAGCCTGGAGCCTGTCTTTGGATTCTGTGACTCCCTCTCTCTCTGACCCTCCCCTGCTCATGCTGTCCCTCTCTCTCTCTCAAAAAAAAAATAAATAAAACATTAAAAAAAATAATACTACATATAAGTGTGTATGTATCCTTAAACCATAGAGTGAAAGCATGAATACATGAAGATAAAAGATATACACTAACTCCTGAACAGTGACTTGGAATTGGAACCCAGTTGTGGAGAGAGACAATTCTTATCTGTCAACATAAAAATGAAAAAAAAAAAGGAGCTGAGGCTACTATGATTAAATGGTGGCATCTTCTATCAGGACAGTGGGTCTGGATACCTGCGATAATGCTCTCTGGACTTCTCTGCTGGAAATGTTTATTGTTGGGCTGGCTGAGAGGTGGGGCAGAGACACCACAGAATGGCAGACCTTAGGATGGCTGACCTTCCCACCACTTCTTAGGATGGCTGACCTTCTTAAGATGGCTGACCTTCCTGCCACTACATCAGTGGCCGTTACTACCTCGGTGGGAAACAGAAATTTAAACCTTCCAACCCTGGACTTTCCAGTCAAGAGACTGCCCCTATTATCTGAACCCCCACTAACAGGCTATAAAACCCCCACCACCACCCAACCAGGCCGCGACTCCCCCGACTCCCCTCTCTCTGGAGTCGCGGAACCTTGCCCAGGGTCGCAGGCAATAAAACTGTCCCCGTAAATTCTCTCACCTTGGCCGAGGGTGCACGCAATAAAACTCCTTCTGCGGAACCTTTTGCCTTGGAGTCTCTTTTCACTCAAAAACCTTACATTTATAACTTTGTAAAAGTATCCTGTTTAAACTAAAGGGGATAAGTGAGGCTACTCAGGAAAAGCAGATAGAGAGGAAAAAAAAGAGAGAGAAGGCAGTTCAGAATAGAACTGGAAGTAAGGTGGAGAAATTCCTTGAAAAACACAACTTAAAACTGACACAGAAGGAAACAGAAGATCTAAACAGCCTTAAGACATTAAGAAGATAGAATCTGTAATTTTAAAACTTCCCACAAGAAAATCGTGGGCCCAGACACCATTACTGGTGAATACTATTAAACAATAAGACCAGAAGAATACCAATAATACACAACACTGTCAGGTTATAGGAAGAAGGGAACATCTAGTTGTTTCATGAGGCCAGCATAGCCCTGATAACAAAACCAGACAAAGAAAATCAGTGAGGTGCCTGGGTGGCTCAGATGGTGAGCGTCCAACTTCGGCTCAGATCATGATCTCACAGTTCATGAGTTCGAGCCCCACATTGGGCTCTGTGCTGACAGCTCAGAGCTTGCAGCCTGCTTCAGATTCTGTGTCTCCCACTCTCTCTGCCCGTCCCCTGCTTGCACTGTCTCTCAAAAATAAACATTAAAAAAAAAAAAGAAGAAGAAAGCTGGCACTCAATGACTATATAGTGAATAAATGAATGAATACATATGTCAGACCCTGTTGTTATTCCAAATTAGATATTCCCTCCCTCCCTAGAGTGAGGACCATTGAACTTGACCTGAATCCTATCCTGCTCTATCTTTGGGACTAGTCCTGACACTGCTAATGGATTTTAAAACAACAGGAAGCTCAACAGGCTTCTGTGTTGTTGACAATTACACTGATATTTGTTTCTCTTTTGCTAAATCACTTACAAAATGGCTGGACAAGTTTTCACCAAATTTGGAGTTATAGACAGGATGATCTGACTTAAATGTGGCTTATGAAAATTAACAAGAAGCTAATTTCAGCAAAACCTGGGGGATGCCCCAAAAAGATAGCTCATCATCTAAAACAGAACTGAAAGTCAGAAACAAGGCAAGCTCTCAATGCCTATTGATCACGCCGACTAAGACACTGTAAGCCAAATAACAAAAAGTGGTTTCAGGGGCGCCTGGGTGGTTCTGTCCGTTAAGTGTCCAACTTTGGGTTGGGTCATGAACTTACAGTTTGTGAGTTCGAGCCCTGGGTTGGCCTCTCTGCTGTCAGTGCAGAGCCTGCTTGGGATTCTCTGTCCTGCCTCTCTCTGCCCTTCCTCCGTCTCACTCTCAAAAATAAAACATTTTTTTTTAAAAAGGCTTTAAGTTTAAAAAAAAAAAAAAAAAGAGTGGTATTGGGTGTTGGGAGCCGTTTCTGAACACATAGGTTGAGAAAGAACTCCTTGTGAGATTAAGGTAAGTTGCACAGACTCACTGTCAGATGGCGAATGATATCCACCCCCACCCAATTGTTTCCACTTGAGCACCAACCCCAAGTCACCTTGTTGACTGGTATTAGGAGTGACTCATTCTGGCCTTGATATGCTGATTGCACTTTGAGAAGGAATTTATGGTAGGAATTTCTTCTTTTGTGGTTATGGAAGCAACACTGTGTTCCTGAAAGACCTGTTTTTCTTAATACCTCCCATTAAGCGATAAACAGGCTATTGACCCCTACTCACAAAGAACTACCTTTTGCCTTTACTATGCTAATGCCACCTTTGGGCTGTTCCCCAACCTTTTGCACATCAATGTTCTGGAAAGGTTTTACTGATAAAAGAATTTATCATCAGAATGCCACTTCTGCGCTGTCCCCAAAACACTAAATCATAAAATAAAGTTGAGTCTCAGATAGTGCGGAGAGGCCTGGCTGGTGACCAGAAGGAATCTCAGCTCTTCTCTCATCCCTCCCTCGCCGACACCGACACCGTGCACCCTTCAGGGACCCCTGGACCGGCCGGAGCTGGACTCTGGCAGTTAGGCACCCATTAAGTCATAGAAACAGTAACACAAATTGCAGGAAATGTTTTGCAGTTAAGCTGCTTCTACAGTATGCCCCAGGCCGAATAGAGCAGGGTTCATTTATTAAATGGTGGTGACTGACCTCCCCAAGTGAATCAAATCAATGTAAATAATAATCACAGCTAACACTTATTAAGGAGTTATTAGCATGCCACACACATGTACTATCTCATTTAACCTACACAGCAACTCCATGAAGCAAGGATTACTGTTATCCCTACTTTAAAGAGGAGGAAAGTAGGATTCAGAGCCATGAAATGACTTGTGCGAGGTCACTCAGCAGGAAGGTGGAGGAATGTGGCTCAAATGCAGCTCGTCCAACTCAGATATCCAGCCTGACCTTGGGCTCCAGTTACTATAGGGGTCTCTGTTTTGTCTCTTGGGTCTGTGGGGCTCTGGGCCTGGAGCTCTGCCTTGGCTTCCTCTGGAACCTCTCATCCCATCCAGGGGAATCAGAATCCCCCTCAACCAACTGCACTGTATCATAAATGTACAATTTTGCTCTAAAAGCTTAAACCTTTGCCTACACTCACTAATAGTTCAAAATAAGTTGGCGTAAGTGAAAGACCATAAGATAAATCTAGTTGAAGAATCATAGCAAGATAAAGAATGATACTTTAGGCAAAAAGCCAATTCACTCCTCACCGTCTCTTTCTAGTAAACATGGCAGCAGTGATGGAAAGCAACGTCTGGGGAAAATACACCCGACACAAACCAGGAAGACAAATACCTTTGACTGTTAAAGCAGAACACTGATCTCTGCATCTGATACTATAAGGTGTTAACTCTTCAGGTGACAAAGAGCCATTATAACTTGACTTCCTTTTCAGGGATACTTCTTGCCGATGTCAGTTCAGCATAAATGTTCAAACCGATTGTGACAACAGATGCATGTACCTCTCTGTACAAAGGACTGAGAGGAGGCAGGTATCGTTTGTATGGGCCCCAGCAGATTATTAACAGCAGCAGCCATCGGGAGTACCTGTGAAGGTTTAACAGTTGCCTCTCTGGAGAAACAAGTCCAGATTTGTAGCACTTGCTGAGCTCCAGGGTACGTGGCTGAATTTCAAGCTACCGAGGGGACTGATACACACAGAGTTGGGCAGAGATGGGCACAGTGGGCTCTCAGGAGCTGCTGTGAACAGGCTCCGCCAGCCACTCGTGATTGCCAGTATTTCTGGGTTACGTACCATGGGCCAGGGATGTGCTAAAGGCTTCACAGAATCCTCTTTGAATCCTTGTAATGGGCCAGTGGGCGGGTACTGTTGTTTTCCCATTTTACAGATGAGAGAAAACTAGGTCTTAGAGAGGTTAAGTAACTCATCAAAGGTCACACAGCTAGTATTAAGAGTTGGCACTCAATCCTGGCAGCCTGGCTCAGGGGTCCGTGTTGTCCACCCCTCTCCAATCCTGCCACTCTGGAAGTGGTTAAAGAAGGTACTGTGATCATCCCCACCTCATTTTACAGATGATACACTGCTAAAGAGCAAAGAGTAAGCTTTGGGGGTAACTGGCAATTGGGCAAAGGGGACTGGCCCACAACAACCAAGGAAGGGTCTTTCTCTTCTTCTTCCAGTAAACTTCACTTGGCCTTCAAAACCCATGTCTGACGTTTCCTTTTTAATGGAGCTGCCCCAGGGACGTTTCTCCCCAGATAGTTTTCCCTTACAAAAATTTTAATTTTCCCCTTGTAAGATTATCATGCTCATTAAAGACTATCAAAGAGCACAGCAAATATCAAATAGAGAAAAATCTCTCGTGGCTCCACCTCCCCCTCACAGCATTTGATCCATATTTGTGCTATGGGGTTCATTCCCCTACAGGTTGACTGTCTATTACATGTTCCACTCTCCCGGGCCCTGAACTTCTCCTGAGAAGATGTCCTGTGGTACCAACACTGGCAGCTACATTTAGCTCCAATCTACCCCATCTCCATCCTCATCCCCGGCACAATCCCGGACACATGGCTGTCCCCCCAGCCCCCATTAATCCGGATGCTTTATTATATCTTCTAACCCAGAAAAGGAAACACTGAGCTTTCCTTGTTTATCTTCAAAGCTGTCCTAATTAACTAAAATTGGTTTTCTTCATTTGCCTTGAACATGTTACCGACATCCTTGCTGTCCTCGGTGGGGCAGAGAGGACAGGGGCACAGAATATAGATGGCTGTATTCCAGCAGGCATCCTTCCTTACCTGCATCCCTCTCATCTTCTGGAACCGTGCAATGGTGTCGCTGATGGTGTACACACGCACGTGGCCCATGTGCAACTTTCCAGAAGGATAAGGGAACATGGAAAGCACATAAAACTTGGGCTTTGATTTCTGGAAAAGAATGACAAAGAATGACAATGAGTATATCTTAAGCATTTACTAGGACCCTACATGCACTTAGTATTTCAGCACTGTACTCAGGGTAATAATTTAACATTTTTTGAAGTTTCCTTCAAAATACAAAAAAACTGGGATACCTGGGTGGCTCAGTCAGCTAAGCATCCAACTTTGGCTCAGATCACGATCTTGCAGTTTGTGAGTTCAAGCCCCGAGTTGGGCTCTGTGCTGACAGCTCAGAGCCTGGAGCCTGCTTCAGATTCTGTGTCTCCCTCTCTCTTGGCCCCTCCCCCTCTTGTGCACACACCCTCGCTCACTCTCTCTCTCTTAAAAATAAACATTTTAAAAAAATGCTTTTTAAATATTCCTATAATGTAAACTGACAAAACTGTCAAAAACCAAAATCCAAAGCCCTAGTTTAAGCTAAAGAATCTCCAAAATAATGTCAAACAACCCTAAAGTGCTAATTACCCATATATATTTTTAATCTTCTTTTCCCTCTCTTTTCAAAGCTTCTCTTTTATGACAGTTTCTATCTAGGTCTTAAAGAACTATATGTTTTTCCAGACGAAGCTCTAACACACATTTCCACATAATTCAAGGACACAGTAGTTGAATCACACCGATGTGACACCTCTAAAACACGGAGCCCCTTCTTAAATTCCCTGTGGTTGCATTTAGACTCGGGTTTAGCAGTTAGAGCAGGATTCCTGAGGCGTCGGTTTGGGTCCTGGGTTTCTCTGCTGGATTGTGAACTCCTCTTTCAGCAGACAAAGTTGAAGTGAGAAAGTAACAAGAAAATCATAGCCATCGAGGGAAGAAGGTTGCTGTCTTCCCAAGGGGTGAGCTACAGCCAGCCTCATGCCAGGGTCAGAGAACCTTCTAGCTGCCAAAGCCACAGCTTCATCACGGGAAACAGAAAAACAGCATGTGTGTCTGAACGGAGGGGCAGGGAATCCTTCCAGGATTGACGACTTTGGGTCTGTATGCCACACTGTGGGGATAAGGCTCAAAAGGAACCGTGGTAGTCACTTAATGGATTCCTAATTAGGGGTCTGTGGTTCAAGGGCAAGGACTGTGTTTCAATCATCTCCCTCTCCCCACGCCCCCCTCCCCTCATTCCACCCCACCTCAACTCCCAGCAGGAGTTTAGTAGCTAGTCTCCACGGATCACTTATAACTAAAGGGCATTTTTTTCTCTCACTACACAAATCCTGTCCAGGTGACAGGATCATCCCCCCTACCCAGCCTTACAACCCCTTTGGGCAGGGCTCTCAGAAGAAAGGCAGAAGAGGTAACTGCTTCTGTCTGGTCTCTGAGGGTCAGGACCTTCTGATGTTACCATCCTTTTATTTATTTCTGCCTTTGGTTTCTCTCTTTGTCCTCACCCCCTTCCTACAGCCCTGCTAGAGTTCTTCAAGGCTTTGCTTCTCCAAAAGTAATGAAAACAAATGCAAAACAGAATATTCATGACCATTCCTTTGGGTACAGGGGTGGCGGTGGTATATTTTTTGCTATGTATTTGCATGACTGATCGTGGACACGGCCAGCTATAATCAGGGGAGCAGAGGAAATCAGAAATCAGATTCTTCCCAAATGTCACTTGACCCATCGCTTTAAAGTTCCTTCAGCAAAGAAGTTAAACAAACCTTTGACAGGGCCTCTGACATGTGGCAAAATAAACTAGAATTTACTCTGTATTACCCATCCTCCAAACATTACCAAGGAGTCATAAGCCAAGCAACCTGACAGGAGAAATGGGAAAAGAGAATCCATAGGAGTCTGGATAATACACAAACCGGAAAATCATGGAATGCTCAGGCAGCAGCTGCAATTGATTTCCATAAATGGACAGAAAGCAGCACACTGGTTAGACTTGAACTAGAAACTGCAGATCCGTGGCCCTTAAGAACCCTCAGGAGACAGACGGGCCCTGTGCTTTGGACTCAGAGTCCAAAGGGGACTCAGAGGGGACTCAGGACTTACCGTCTTCAAGTGACATGGGACACCTGGGTGGCTCAGTAGGTCAAGCAGTTCATGAGTTCAGTAGGTCAAGCAGTTCATGAGTTCAAGCCCTGCATTGGGCTCTACGTTGACAGCTCAGAGCCTGGAGCCTGCTTTGGATTCTGTGTCTCCCTCTATCTGCCCCTCTCTCTCTCTCTCAAAACTAAACATCTAAAAAAAAATTTTTTTAAAAGGGGGCTCTGAGTGGCTTGGTCGGTTAAGCATCCGACTTCAGGTCATGATCTCACTGCGCATGAGTTCAAGCCCTGCATCGGGCTCTGTGCGGACAGCTCAGAGCCTGGAGCCTGCTTCAGATTCTATGTCTCCCTCTCTCTCTGCTCCTCCCCTGCTCACATTCTGTCACTCTCTCTCTCAAAAGTAAATTACATTAAAAGAAGAAGAAGAAGAAAGAAACTGACAGATAATCCTCTCAGTGTAAACTAGTCCCTCAAAGGAGGTGCAAGCCCTTACTCTGCCACTGGGCGCAGAAACTGGAAGTAAGCAGACTGTGCACTCTGTTCAAACCTCACTCCTTCTCACAGTGGATTAGGTGTATTGTCTTTTCATTGGGAATATTTAGGGCCATGGGAAAACAGCTATCACAGAGTTCTTTAGGATCTAAAAAATCAATAAAATCCTTGACATAAACCATTTCTCGTTTTTCCTTTTAAGTTTGTACACTAAGCCTATTTTTCTTTTATTATAACCACCTTGTCTTCATTTTACTGATTTTTATGATATTATGTTTATTTAACACTCGATCTTGCCCCAAACATTTTCCACACACAGCTTCTTCATGAGTGTCTCCTTTCCATAGGGCTGTCGCACAAATTAATTTATAGCAAAACTGAGTGATTCATTATATAGCAACAAGGCCAAACTCCAAAACTGAGCTTACGGAAGATATGCAGAGAAGCACGGCTGGCAAAGGTCTTTAATATTCGTGACCATTTTTGTTTATTGCAGAAAAGGTATTCAGCTTACTTTGTGTCCTGCCTTTTACTTTTCTGTGTGAATTAAATCATTTTCCTCCGAGGTAATGAAATGAGCTCTCTGTCCCCTGGGGATGACGAGAAGGAATTGTGGGAGTGTGTGGTAGACCAGAGCAGGAATCTGATTGAAAGGGATGGGCATGGGGGAGGGCACTTGTGGGGATGAGCACTGGGTGTTATATGGAAACCAACTTGACAATAAACTATTTGTAAAAAAAAATTTAAAAAAGGGACATTTTTGTAATTACATAAAAGTATAAGAATGTGAGCCTTTAAAAGAAATTAAGATTGCAGGCAATGGGAAGAGGATGGTTTTTATAAGTGGGCCCTATTATTTTTGTTGTGGATCAAGTTCTAAAGCTATCGCTGAGCCTCAACGGCAGCAGAGAGAAGGAGCCCGGAGCTCTTGTTCTAGCCCTAGGCTCACCACTAGCTGTGAGACCTTGGGCAAATTCCTCTGCCTTTCTGGGCCCAGTTCACAATCTGTACCTCAAATGAGAGGCAACAGAAGGTCCTAGGCATGTATCTCAATAAATGACCAAACCTCCCTCTGAGCCTCTGTTTTCTTGCCCTGCAAAAACTCCCTAGGCTTGTTAGAGGATTAAACGAGGTAATGAATGGAAAGACAGTGGCTGACATATAGTAAAGTGCTCATTAAGTGGAACCTCTTTTAATAATGAAGATTATGAAAAAAAAAAATAAAAAAAAAAAATAAAAAAAAAATAATGAAGATTATGGTGCTAATGGCAAGACATTCAACCTAGAAACTCACTGGGGTAGATTTCAAATATATCTTTTTTCATTATTTTTTTTAAGTTTATTTATTTTTGAGAAAGAGAGAGAGCACTCGTGTGTTGGGGAGGGGCAGAGAGAGGGAGAGAGAGAATCTCAAGCAGGCTCCAAGTTGTCAGCACCAGGGCCCGACCTGGGGTTCAAATCCACAAACCGCAAGATCATGACCCGAGCCGAAATCAAGAGTCGGGCGCTAATCTAATACCAGAGTGAGGACAATTAAGCTTCAAAATCCACTGACATCCAGGGACACCTGGGTGGCTCAGTCGGTTAAGTGCCTGACTCTTGGTTTCGACTCGGGTCATGATCTCACAGCTTCGTGAGTTCGAGCCCCACAGTGGGCTCTGTGCTGGCGGTGCAGAGCCTGCTTGAGATTCTCTCTCTCTCCCTTCCTTTCTGCCCCTCCCTCCTTCACTCTGTCTCTGTCTCTCTCAAAATAAATAAATAAACTTAAAAAAAAAAACTTTAGGAAAAAAAATCCAGTTATATTCTTTGTTCCAACAAGGACACTACACCACTTTACCCTCTTATACTTTTATTTACCTAACATTTCCGTGTGTAAAATGTGTTCAGCCACAGCTGCTCATGTGATTTTCAGGACAACTCTGTGAGATAAATAATGCAAAGGATTGAGGATCAAGGAGGTTACATGTGGTGGCCGTAAGCAGGCAGAGATCTCGAGGCCGAGCAAGTAACACCCCCCAGTTTCCAGACCCGTCACATGGCACCTTCTCCACCTGCCCGGTCCCCAGTCCAAACCCTGAGAAGACGCCACCCAGGGACCACCCACGATATTCCTCAGCTACTTCTCCAATTACTGATACACAGTTTCTTTTGATCCACTAAAAAAAAAAACACAGTACTTAAGAAGGCGCCACAAAATCAGTAACCTGCAACTTTAAAATGTGTGGAAGCCACTAAATCATAATCTAACCCAAAAAGAAAAGCCAACTTTACTCTCCTTGCTCAGAAGTAAACTGCTCCCTAGTTTGTTTCCAAAATACCTTTAGGCACATGAGTCTGGTCATGTTGATGTGAAAGCTCTTTGCGTCCTCATGAGGCGGAAGTCGGGCTTTCACGGTACAATCATGCGGTGTATTAAAATCTTTTTTATTGTTTCACTTGTTATCCACTACACCTCTCTCAATACCAGATTTTCTTTCTAACCTGAAACCATCCTTTGCTTTAACAGAAATAACTGCGTCCAGCATTTTTCGTAGTGATCACAGTCACAGAAGGCATGAGTCTGAAAAGCTCGAGGATCAGGAGATGGGAAACGAAAAGTCTAGTCAAGAGCAGAGTCTTGTGCAGTTATATCGATCCACCTGTCTGCGTCTGGCCTAATCTTTTTAGTTACATGTAGAAGGTTTGGTAACTATTACAAAGGGATGGTCAGAATTCAAGGGTAAACGACCTTACAGTGCATGGCTCTGATCAGATCCATCAGTTCATGTAACAAATGACATCTCCCATTTGTTGTTTTGAGCAACACCAAGAGGTGAGGGTTACCACGTCCAAGACTAATTAATCCCCGACAGGCTGGACTCCTAGAGGAGCCAGCCTCCAACACGGTGCCCCCTGGGAACTGGCTACAACCAAACCCGAGAGACAATTACTCAAGTTCAGCGCTGAGCTGAGGCATCCCAGGCAGAAGCCAAGGGCTCACTAACCCCCACAACTATACTGCAAACCTGGGTCCCAGCCACCAGCTCACACCAGGGAAGGGCTGGGACCCCCAGTTCACACCAGGAAAGGGCTGAGATGCCCAGCTCACACCAGGGTAGGGCTGAGACCCCCAGATCACTCCAGGGAAGGGCGGGAGGCCAACCATGATGGCTGGAGGCCAACATCATGCAAGGGCAGAGGCAGGACCTTCTCAGAATATGCAGATTAAAAGTTCCACGGCTGAGGGGCACCTAAGTGGCTTAGTGTTAAGTGTCTAACTTTGGCTCATGTCATGATTGCATGGTTGGTGAGTTGGAGCCCCATATTGGGCTCTGTGCTGACAGCTCAGAACCTGGGGTCTGCTTCGGATTCTGTGTCTCCAGCTCTCTCTACCCCTCCCCCATTTGTGCACACATGCACGCTCTCTCTCTCTCAAAAATAAACATTAAAAAAATGTTGACAATTTCCTGTTGGTTATTTCCTGTTTGCTTTACAGAATTATAGATCAAACCAAAGACCTCTTAGTTTGAGAAGGCACTCAATAAGTATTTGCCAAATTTAACTTCTTTCCTCTCAACTAATAGTGTCTTTATAAAACCTAACATATCCTTCAGGGTTGTTTAAAAATGTGCCTTCTGACTTGTCATGTCCTGAATGTGTATTCAATACCAACGCAAACCATTACAATTAGAAGCAGAACAATAAATACCATGTAGTCTTCTAAAAATGTTTACTATAGAAATAAAATTGGGGCGCCAGGGTGACTCAGTTGGTTAAGCGTCCAGTTTTGGCTCAGCTCATGATTTCACGGTTCATGGGTTTGAGCCCCACGTCAGGCTCTGTGCTGAGAACTCAGAGCCTGGAGCCTGTTTCGGATTCTATGTCTCCCTCCCTCTGCCCCTCCCCTGCTTGCACTCTGTCTCTCTGTCTCTCTCGCTCTCTGTCAAAACAAACATTAAAAAAATTTGTTTTGAAGAATGCCTCTCATATTTAAAATAATAATAATAATAAATTTTTTGTAAGTTCTACTGGTGAGGGGTCCAGGGGCTACTCCTGAAACCTCACATCGGACCCTGCTGGACCCCTGGGAGCTGGCCACCCACGCAGTGGGCCATGAGAACCTAACACCTGCTGTGGCTCCACTCCCGATGAGTGTCCCCCGTAAACCTGCTCGAGAATGCCCAGGGTGGCGTGGTCCGCATGCACCTGTGTGTAAGCACCACACTTCCCAGTGCTACCCTTGTCCGATCTCACTCGGCCCCCACAAGCATCCTAGGAAGCAGGTGGTCGATGCGCTGTCCATGGTTTAAAAGAAAACTGAAGCACAGATTCAGCTGGTTCAAGGTCACACGCTTAATAACTTATTTGAACTCGGGCAATCTGACTTCAGGGCCAAGTTCTTGGCCCCTCTTCTCTTCCCTCTCAAAATCCCTCAGAATACTCACATCCGCTTCTGATATCTTGGAGGTTTGTTCTTTTATTCGTTGATGCCACCATTTCTCAACATCCTTTCTCGTCTGCAACGTGTACTCTTTTGTCCACTTCCCCGTGGCACTGTAAATACATCTGGGGCATCCTGGGATCACTCTCCTTCCTCCGCTGATGATATCTGGCCCACCACTTAGCTGGCTTTTCAGGAAAGAGACATAGAAATCCAGTCTCCGCCAAGCAGAAGCCATTCTCCAGGAGGTGCGAAGGCCCTGAAAAAGAGGGCAGAATGTTCTCTTAGGAACTTCCCAGAACTCTTTCTAGTTCAGCACAGCCCAGCATTCCCTGCACATTCACATGCCTTCATCTGATGCTCTTGATGGTTTCCTTCCCTGAACATGTCACATCCAAACTTCAACTGAGTTGGGGCACCTGGGTGGCTCAGTCAATTGAGCCTCTGACTTTGGCTCAGGTCATGATCTCACAGTTCGTGGGTTCAAGCCCCGCACTGGGCTCGCTGCTATTAGCACAGAGCCCACTTCAGGTCCTCTGTTCCTCTTTCTCTCTGTCCCCTCCCACTCAAGCTCTCTCCCTCAAATATAAATAAACATTTAAAAAAGAGAAGAAAAGAAAAGAACTTCAACTGAGCTAAGCACAAACTCTTTTAATGGAAAATAGAACAGTGGTCAACGTTCCTAAGCACCAAAGATACAAAACTCCCACAGAAACGAATGGGGACCACGTCGAGGGCCAGCCCTGCCACAGCTTTGAGGGGTGCACGGAAGGCCAAGGAGCCCCCTCCCTCCTTTCCTTTAGCCCCAGCCCAGCAGGTTTCCCTTCCCATCATCCAGGCTTTAGAAGAGCTCCAAGCACATCTTGGCTTGGGCTTAGGCTCAAATGACAGAAGGGATCGGAACACCCACCCTCCAGGAGGTCCAGAGCCTCGGGAGCTATTATTAACATTTTTCGTACATATCGTTAAGTTACATATACTCATAGGCTGAGCCAAGAAATAACTATTACTTGTAAGAGTGCTTATTCAGCTAGTTCTTTATTTATTTACTAAATACTTATTGAGTGTGCTAGGTCCACACACTGTTCTAGGCACTGGGGATACAGTGGCGAACAAAACCCAACTCTCTTCCTCCATGGTACTTACATAGTAGTAAAGAAAAGCAGATGAGAGGAAAACAAATAAATATAGACGCATAATGGTGGCGAGTCCTATACAAGCCATAGGCTGGGACCCACCAGGACATCTGGATTCAATTCAAAATTCAACTGGGACACTTCACTGGTCTCCTCCAAAGGAGAATTCCAAAAATGACCTCACGGAAGCACTTTCATGTTTTATCATGGCCTAAGAGGCTGAGGTGACAGTTTGGCAAATATTTAAGATTTATGACTAACCAGCCTAACCTTCCTGCCTTCTTACATAACCATGTGAAAAAGCGCTCGAGTGAAGAGACAGACATAAAACCAAGAGAGAAATAAAGGAAGAAGCTGGTGTTAATGCTTTGATTCTGTCAACAATTGCTCCATAGTTACTAGCGTCTGGCCTGTTTTCACACAGGTACTGGGCCACAAACGCTGCCAAGAGAGTCTATCATAGGCTTACACAGTGGGTTTCACACTCAACATAAAATGGCATCCGTGTTGGCATTTTACAAGATGGTCGGCCAAAGTTCTTGATATACCAACTCTCGCTGTACTTAATACCTCCTGCTTCTTTGGGGGTAGAAGCAGAAAGACGACAAAACAAAACGTTCCCTATCCACTGGGCTTGGCTATTCTAAAACATGTACATGTGACTAAAGATATTAGGGTAAACTATATGAAAATGGTTGAATATCAGCAACTTCATATGACCGACCTAATATATATACACACTTTGTACACTTAGAGTAGTTGCATTTATTTTTAGGGGTTGGGTTTCTACAGAATTAGAACTATCTGCAGGAGTTATCATTTTATGGTTCCCTTGCTAAGCTATCATTTCCATATCTTTACAAGCCAAAAACTGCCCAATGAGCAGAGAGCATAGATAGACGCTTGTCGTTTCTCTCCTGGATTGCATTCCCTCACAACACATAAGGAGAGGGTTCTGGAATATCTCCCCAAGAGAAACAAAGGGAAACAACAGAACTATAAAAATACAAATTAACCAGGAGCGCCTGGGTGGCTTAGTTAGTTAAGGGTCTGACTCTTGATTTTGGCTCAGAGCATGATCTCACAGTTCATGGGATCGAGCTCCATGTCCAGCTCCATGCTCACAGCACAGGGCCTGCTTAGGATTCTCTCTCTCCATCTCTCTGCCCCTCCCACCCCCAAAATAAATAAAGAAACATTTAAAAAGTACAAATTAACCTGAACTGCAGTCTCACAAGTTTTTGGTTTCAATGCTTGTTAGCTGGTGCGAGGAATGAAATCCCAAAGAGTGCAGACCAATTACCAATATGAGCAGTGTGAAGGGAGGTCATTCTTTCACTGAAAATTCTAATCGTCTCTGTAACTTACTCATCATACACCAATCATAAACAACATATACAACACTCCCTGTCTACCCAATGAGAATAAGCTTTCTAAATATGTTTACGGGGTGCCTGGGTGGCTCAGTTGGTTAAGCATCTGACTTTGGCTCAGGTCACAATCTCGCAGTTCATGGGTTCGAGCCCCACTTTGGGCTCTGTGCTGACAGCTAGGAGCCTGGAGTTGGCTTCGGATTCTGTGTCTCCCTCTTTCTCTGCCCCTCCCCGTTCACACTCTGTCTCTCACTCTCAAGAATAAATAAACATAAAAAATTTTTAAATATGTTTATATAACACATGACTCACTGACAACCTTTTCTGTACATAAACCAATGGTATAGACTAGAGAATCCTGAAACTGATCTGGGCTTGTAAAGAACTTAAAGGTCATAAAGAAAAAAGCACACGTCAGTTAGAAACTGGAGCCCCATCTCAAAACCACAAACCAGTGTAAATCCCATAAGGATTAAATAATTTTTTTTAAGTATCATAAAACAAGACAAAAATACAGATGAGTATTGAACACATCTTTACAAGGTGCAAGATGTTCTGTCCTGAGGATAAAAGCAATAGAAGAATTCACAAAACGTTAATAAACCTGACTCTAAAAATGTAAAATGTCCGTATATCAAAAGCACTGTGAACAAAAGTGGAAAGAAAACAGTAACTGCAATAACAAATGGTTCTCCTACTCTATGAAGAGTTTAGTTATAAAAAGAGAAACATTCAAAACCTAATTTTTAAAATAGGCAATGGAAAAACAGAAAGAGAAATGCAAATGTCTAATAAATATACAAAAAAGGTCAACTTAAGAACTAATCAAAAAATGCAAATGAAAATGGAAATGAAATATTTTGCTTAACAGACTGGTAAAGACCTATTAAATGAAAAATGAGCATTTTTTAAAAAATGTTTTAATGTTCATTTATTTTTGCAAGAGACAGAGTATGAGCAGAGGAGGGGCAGAGAGAGACACACACACAGAATTCAAAGCAGGCTCCAAGCTCTGAGCTGTCAGCACAGAGCCCAATGTGGGGCTCAAGCTCACATGATCATGAGATCATGACCTGAGCTGAAGTTGGACACTTAACCAACTGAGCCACCCAGACACCCCAAAAATGGACATTTCTATACACTGCTGCTGAGAATGTAAATGGATTCCACTTCTTTGAGGAGCAACATGGTAATAATGCATTAAGACTCTTTAAGAAAAGTTTATACTTGGGGCGCCTGGGTGGCTCAGTTGGTTAAGCGTCTGACTTCAGCTCAGGTCATGATCTCACCAGTCATGGGTTCAAGTCCGCATTGGGCTCAGTGCTGACAGCTCAGAGCCTGGAGCTTGCTTTGGATTCTGTCTCCCCCTCTCTCTCTCTATCCCTCCCCCACTCGTGTTCTGTCTCTCAAAAATAAACATTAAAAAATTTTTTTTAAAAAGTTCACACCCAAAGTTAGGGGAATCCCCAAGATGCAGGGGGATACTGATAAAATAAAGGAAATTATCTACTTTTAATGTCTGTGGGTTCTGCTCCTGGGCTCCCGGGGAAAGCTATGCTTTAACATATACCAAGGTCAAAATGATTCCACAAAACCTCAAAGAACGGACCCTATTTCTGCCCTAGTACACATTGTACATCTGCTTTATTTAAGAAATAACCAAAAAGGAGCATTCCAAACATAAGGCAGAAACCTCCCTGGTTCCCATAAGATTAAAGTCATACACCCCTGCATTTACTAGAGGGTAAGATAAGTTCTGCAACCTTCAAACATGTTCTTTGTCTAAGAATTTGTAACTTTATGTAAAACAAAAAAAACAAGAAAGGTATATAACCCAATACCAAATGTTCTTTCACAGGAGCACTCTCTTCTTTGTGAAGATTGTGTATGCCAGCAGCTGTCCTAACTTGGCCTTGAATAAAACTCCCTTCCTTTCTTCTAGAAATTCTAAAAGGTTGGTTCAATTTGCCTTGACAATATACTACAGAACTTTCTGGAGCTCAGCAGGCCCTGCTCTTGGCCACTCCACCACCAAAGTCCTAAAAAGGGCACTGCCTCTTCTTGACAAGGTGCGGCTATTTCATTAGAGGACTCTGCCCAATTACATCAATGTGAAAGGTGTGGCTCACGTCTTGTATTTACAGCCAACTTGGCCTTTTATTCCTTAGCTCTGTTTCATCCAATTCCTTGCCTAGATGCTTGGAATCTTGTCTTTTCTTCCACACCCTTCCAAAATAACAATCCCCATGACTCCGCTCCTCTCTAGAGTCAGTCCTGACCTCATCCTCACTCGGGGCTTATAAGGTTGTTTTCTGGAGGACCGACAGGTGGTCAGAGAAGAGGCCTAAGATCTGGACCCAAAAAGATAATCATATGTAGACAGAGAAACCTAAGGGAAGAGCAGTACAAGCAAAGAACAGCAAAATACATGGAAGAAGGACAGGAGGTCATTTCCGTGCACCCCCAAAATGTGTAAGAATAGACCAGGAAAAGTGCATCTTAAAGAAAATAAATTTTGTGACAGAAAAATTCAGATCGTGGCTTTTGCAGCAACTCGTTCCCTGTGGGACCTCAGGCAAATTATATCCTGCCGGGAATCTCACCTTCTTTATAAGATGAGAAGGTAGACCCACATGATCTCTGAGGTAACATGCAGTGGCAATAATCTCTGGGCCACAGAGATGTACTGAATGTCTTTTAGCTGAGTCCGAACCCCCAGGCCAGGAAGCAAAGATCCAGGGACGAATCGG